GAACCACTGGAAACCTTGGCAGTACTGGACAACTGTTTCATTAGTCTAGTTTGAGACTCTTCATCAGTACGCATCCGTAACAAGGATTTCGAACCCAGGAACGTCTGGTTACAAGACCAGTGAGCTTGTTGCACATTCAGCGGCCACTGGCACCTGACTCGATCCAATGGTTCATGAATTGAAACTTCTGACAAATCACGATACAGTGCGACCACTTCGCAATGTCTTCGATGAGTTTCTTCCTCATCTGAAATCTGCTGTACTCAAATGGTCACAGTTTCCTTATTAGAACCCCCAGGTTACGTGCGTGAATAAGGCCAGTCACTAGTGGGCAACAGATTAATTTTCAAGTATTGTTTGTGTAAGTATTTTGTGTTTGATTTGATGGAGGATTTCATCATGAGCTGGCATCAGTTATCCATTCATTTGTAGCGTACTACCGAAGAGTTCCAACCTAGGAGGAAACAGCTGTACAGTACTTCCTGGTTTTCCAGTGATTCTCTAACTGATGTCAGCTTATGATGTAATCCTCATCCAATCAAACACAAAATTCCTACAAAACCAATACTTGATATATCTAAAATCCAATAACGTGGAATGATATACTATCACAGCTTTCCTTAGTCGGTGATATTATTGCTAACATCGAACTAGATTGGGAAAGAGTCAGAACAGTCACACCAGCACACGCACACGCACACACCCATACATTCATGTAAATTTTTATATTGAATCTCAATCAAACCACATGATGCTCAAACAATCACATTGACTAGTCACTAGGTTTTTAATCAATATCATAGTTCTTGCTTTTAATTCACAATCATCAAGCAAGGTGATTAACCGTCACAGCATCATGAAATCGCCTCCAGTCACTAAACACACATAATTCAAGTCTGTTGAATAGCTGCTTTGTGCAATTGATTGTCAGCTGAATAAAACGATGAGCTTGATGGTGATGATGGGAATGACAAGGACGGCTATTTGTCTTCCCGCCGTTTTTTTTCCTTTAATTCGTTCCATGTCTTGTTATTATATTTCTCAATGAGGAAAAACAATGACAGAGAAAAATGAAATGCTTTATAACTCTGTATCATTCATTCGTTGTCCTGATTCCGTGCCGATCTTTCACTAATATTATCATTATTATTATCATTACCATTAGGGTTATTTGGCTAAGGACTCACAGAAGTGTTTTTTTATAAATCTTTATCGATAAAACTATATATGACATTAGCATATGCTGGAATGAAAAGGCAGCTACACTGATGCACCCACATCACCAACCACACACACACACGCACACACAAGTGGACAGATAGACAGGCGTACAGGATGAAGAGTAACATGTAAGCGACTAGTGTTCACTAGGAAAATTTCATCAGTACAGCTGTTATACACATTTAATTGAGGAAGATAAGATTGAACAAACAAGGAGTATAGATTTATTTGAAAAATAAAATGACTGGTTTTGATCCAGTTGAGGGAAATACAATCTGTGAAAGGACTGTAATTATTTACTATTATTATTATTATAATATTATTGTTTCCTTTAATCCCTAGAGGTATACAGGGCTTCAGACAAACGTCACCAGTGAGTTCACTTTTCTGCCAACGTTCTCACCTGGCTACACATCTGCCCACATTATTTCATCTCATCTTCACATCCCCTCCTCTTCCTACATGTCAACCTCCCAATGACCACCTACTCGCTGCTTTTCTTTTGAGTTCCACTCGAGTGATAGCCTGTATTGCGTGTGATGTCACTCACTTGATTGTTTGTTTTCTCAGAGTATGGCTAATCCACCATCATTTCTTCCTGAATATTTGTTGCACGATCGGTTCCTGTTGAGTTGGTTCGTTTCCAAATCTCTCTCTCTACTGCTAATCTTTTCTGGCCGGCCATCTGATCTTTAGCGAAGTATTGAGCAAAGCCAACTGTTAACAAAGGTCTGTAGTTTGTTCGAAGTGCCATTCGTGACGCGGCACGGCACGGCACGAAGTCCGTATAGTAGCAGTGATCTCACATTGAAGTTAAAAAATTCAGATTTTATTTTGCATGTTGAGGAGTGCTGTTGACTTCCACTCAGACTACAGAGATTTGAAAGCTTGCCTTGCTTTTTCGATGACCGTCGCTTTGATATCCCCGTCAGTTCCACCTGTATGTAGCAGTAATGCTCCCCAGAAAGGCGTCTGAATTGAAGAAAGGAGTGAACGAGGCGCACTACTACCACCTACGATGATATTTCCAATTAAGGTGGACTGGAAAATACGGCAGATTGTACGTGAGGGGCAAGAAGAAAGACGTACATTGAATCCATAAGAAGACTCTACTCAGCAGATGAGTTATGTCTTATGTCACATAAAATCAAACAATTACAGAAGAAAAGCAAACAACCTGGTGAAAGAAAATGGCAGTGAAGGCAGCACTTCAAGTGAATACGGAGAAAACTGAGGTTATGAGGATAACTAATTGGCCCCAACCAGCAACAACAAAAACAGGCATGCATCACTCTCAACAGGAGAAATTTTAAATAGATCACTTTTTCCCATTATCTGCGCATCATTCTTTCAATCACAGGCACGCCGAAATTGGAAGGTCAAGGTAAATCGTCATGACTCTCGAATCAGTTCGGGATTCTTCTGCATTCAGCACTAAGAATACAGCAGTGTTAAGTCAGTCAGTTCTCGTATATGCGTCAGAAACTTGACTAGTGCGTCTTGGAAAGCGTTTCCAACAAGCTTCAGAATTTATCTAAAGTTGCCTCCGCTTGTTCCATACTGAAGGTCAGATCATCAGCCTGAAAGGATTCGCAACAAGGTAGTGTGGAAAAGAACCTATCACTCAACCAATATTTGGCAGAAAATAGAGGTCAAATGTACAAACTCGGAGGAGACTGTTAAATTGTGATGAGAGCTGAGTGAAAGCTAAAATTATCAACATCAATTTACGTCAATGTTACGTCCAGAATCAGGGTTATGAAAAACACAATAACAAAGCTTAACCTTGGGGAACTCATCAACCAATCACAGCAGATCCAAGATATGCACATACGATTCGCAGATACATGGCTTAACTTTCTAAGAAACGGTCACAAGCAGTACAGAATAATCCTGAGTAGGAAAACAACCAATCAGAGGACGCTGTTTCTCCACTGAAAATAAGGTATATAAAAATCTATAAATATCTCTTGATTTTCTCAGTAAACCACCTGTTGCCTAGCCTTTGTCCTCTGTCGTTCTAGGGTGGAACCGGAATGGGTAACAAAGAGCTGGGTTGTAGTCCAAGAATGACGTGGAGGTGATCAATCGAGGAGCATGTGAGGGACGATAGTCAACCGTAGGGTCAGTTGATTAAGAGTGTAGAGAACAAAGCAAACTGAAGGGATTTTCAACTGCGATATCGTATCCTTCAGATTATTGGACAGTAATTTCCCACTAGAAAACGCTTTAGGACCACTTATGCGAGGAATGCGAATGGCAAACAATAGAATCAAGCTTTGTTTTTGACCAGTTGGCATCCAGCTGAAGTGATCATTCTGTGACAGCTTTCTTCAAATTGATATCTTCAAAGAACCGTCAGCCATTCTTAATAAGTTTATATATAGAGAAAATGGATGTTAGAATTGCCCTTGATTTCTAGGGGGGGGGGGTTGAATTTCACCGCTAGATGAAAGCCATTCAACGCATTTAGTACATATTATTCAAATCATAATCATTGTCAAGAATAATGTAGGTATCATCTACATCGCTTTCATATTATCGAAAACTTTGAATTGTTGACTTCAACTGACCCTTTTCTCTAGACTGGTTATAAAACAATCTGCAAGAAGAGGACCTAACGGAGGTCTTATGGCAATACCTACCTCATTATCTGTACACTGTTTAATTGTAAATAAACTATGCATTCAGTGTACATTTGTTATAACTGTAGGGGATTGAATGAAGACGTTTTCACCTTATTCTGTCTGCGCCTGAACTAATCTACCTATCTGCTTGTCGTACCTTCCGATTTAGTAAAGCACGCAAATATCAAAAGACAAAGGCTGGACTGTGACTGTGTATTGAAGTGCAACAACGACAAAGAAAGCCATGGTATTTATACATTTTACAACAATATGGACAGCTAACAGCATTTGAAATAATTTATCTTAATAGCCAACAACAAAGTGCGTGAGAGATGATAATATACCATATGTGCGAGATTTGACAGTCAATAACAAAATGTGTGAGAATGATAATATACCATATATACAAGATTAGCAGTCACTACCAAAATGTGTGAGAATGATAATATACCATATATACAAGATTAGCAGTCACTACCAAAATGTGTGAGAATGATAATATACCATATATGCAAGATTAAACAGTCAATACCAAAATATGTGGGATCCTATCAACATTTCCAAAAGATAACTGACACTATTGGATATCTGAAAATCAACTAACTTTTTCAGTACGTCGCGAATTGACAGAAGTTAGAATTCAAGGACCATTGGATCCGGTCGCAGTGGCTGCTAAATGGTCTACAAGCTCGCTAGCTTTGTAACCAGAAGGTCCTGGGTTCGAATCCCGTTAGGTGCGTACTGCTTAAGACTCTCAAACGTGAACAAAACAGGTGTCCAGTACTCCCAGGTTTTCCAGTGATTCTCTAACTGATATAAGCTCATGATGAAATCCTTCATTCAATCAAACAAAATCCCTACAAAACCAGTACTTGAAAATTAATCTGGTGCTCACTAGCGACTGGCTCTTTTCAGGGCAGTTACCTAGGGTTCTAGTGGGAAGTCGTTACCGGTAGGGTACAGCAAGTTGAATCATAGCGATGGACAAGTATATACATATATATATATATAAGAAGTATTTGTGTAGAAGATTTTCCACTAACATTTTTGCTAACCTTTTAATGTTTTTCCTTCTTTACCGTTACACCCGCTTTCTCCACCCGCCCCCCCACTCATGAAATCAACCATCTATCCTGCAATGATATAAATTAGACGTGATGCTATGAATAATCAACATCAACAGAGAACAATAAAAAATGTTGGCTATCGATTAGGCAAACGTAAACGTCTCTTTGAAAAACGCTGTCGAATATCTGATTTCTCATTAAGTTTTGCTGTATTCGGTATATTGGTTATGCTAATTGAAACAGAGTTCACATTTGCCGGAGTCTATGAAAAGGTTAGTTTCATTGATTTATTGATTTACACTTCTTCTTCTTCTTATTATTATTATACCCCTTGAGTTCCGTGTGAAACACTGTGTTTCAACAAAACATCTCGATTTTGTCCTGTTCTCTGGATACTGTTGTGTCTGAAGTCGACCAAAAAAAGAAATTAGGGAAGCGGAGAATCTGTGACTTTAGGTGGGAGATGGAGAGAGAGAGAGAGAGAGCTACATATGCATCGGGTGACATAATTATTTCTTTTTACGAGGTAATTATGTCGTTATGTTTTCTTTTATTACATCAAAAGTATTATTTTTATAGAATGTTTGACTTTCTATTATAATTTTCTTTAATATATCTCACATGTTCTGTAATGATGAATAATTATCCTGGTGTCATTTGCGGACATGTTTGCATCACAAGACATCAGTCGCGTGAACAACTTTTGTCTTTTACATTCCTTCCCTTTATTCAGAGACTTTTCCGGCTATAATATAAATTTGAATAAGGTAATAAGAAGACAAATTTTGGCGAGATAATATCGTCATTTCGTAGTTTCTTTACAACCGCTTTACAACTAACATGGTTAACAATAATAAAGTTCATGAAAATTACTCAGTTAAATAAAAAACAAAACTACATACTAATGACCAATCATATTTAGATAGGTCACGTAGTCCAGGGTAGGCGAAGATTGAAGTCTGTTGATTTTTGTACACATAGTCTAGGATGTATTTGATTAATCCTCCAAAGTGCTTCCATCACCTTCAATAACCAGCCTTGAATTAGAGTTATGTGATGAAATAATTGTGAAACAGTCATTGATATCGATTGATTTTTTGACCTTACATTATTAGGTGTTTTGCAATGGATGATGTTGGATTTCTATTCAGATTAATCGCGTTAGGATTTTCGATATGATTTAGTAACCATTTTGGAACATGTTCTTTTCAACGACATTGGAACATTCTGTTGGTTCTACATATATAGGTGTTACCGCAGCTTCAGGTGAATTTGTAGATGCAGTTTGAAGTAGAGTCCACAGAATTCCGTCCTTTAATCGTAGGAACAGGGAACGAAAATGTTCGGCAAGTGAGAAAAAGAGATGTGACGGCGTAGAATGTGTGCTTGATGGCTGACCGAAGTCTTTGAGCTAGCTGTCAACTGCATAATCTGGTCGCCCTTGAATGGTGGATTAATGAAGATAGCTTTCTTTGGTACAGAAGCTGTCTTTTCAAGATGTGGTCTATTCTTATAATATAAATCATTGAAATTTCTTTGAGATTTAGGTAACACAACTTGGACACTGTGGAGATATGCAATTTCATTCAAGAATAATAGAGAAGATTTTGTAGCTCAGGTGGATGATTTCATTGAGAATCTTTCAGTGGAGATTTCGATATAAAATGAACTCATTTTGAATTCTTCAGAAATGATAGAATTATGTCGCTTGACAACAACCATTTTTGTGACTATTCGAAGATTTAAATCTTTACTGATCATTTTTATTGACTTGGAATTTCAACATTTCTTGTCACGTGATTTATTTTTAATTACAACAGTTGGTAAATTTGGTCTGTCATAATGTGTTTGTTAATCTCTGACTTATTCCCTTAAGCACCAACCAGGCCTCTAGAAATTTTCTGGCACTTTTGGTGTTTCCTTTGTCTAAAATTTCGACATTATCCCAATCATCAAACTGATATCTAGAATTATCAACATGCATTGATATGAAAGTATATGTGTCATGTCTTTTTACAGCTAATTTGTGTTCACGAATTCAGATTCGAAGGCAACGCCCACTTTGACCGATGAGATGTCTGTCACAGTTCATACAATTTATTTTGTAAATAATAACAATTTTATATATATATTTTCCCTGTTGGATCTTTTGGTTTGTACGATATCGAATGAAGTGATTGTGTTGTGTCTATTTCAAACGGTTTTAATATTCTAGCTGTTAGACATTTGTAAAAACTTATATTTGTAAAATCACAGTTTTTGTTCAGCGAAGAAATTTCTTTTCAACGACTTCATTTTCAAGCTGTACAGTCGTATTTATATTACAGAAAAAGGTTATTAAGTGGCACTAAATAATTGCTCAGTCAATGTACGTATATATGCGATAAAAGTTATAAAGGGTAGAGTTGAAGTGGATAAATTACAAATACATTAAAGATATAACTTTTATCACATATATACGTACATTGACTGAGCAATTATTTAGTACCACTTAATAACCTTTTCCTGTAATATAAATACGACTGTACAGCTTGAAAATGAAGTCGTTGAAAAGAAATTTCTTTGCTGAACAAAAACTGGGATTTTACTTATGAATAAATGGGTATTTTTCGAGATTTGTAAAATCTCAGCAAGACTGAAGTGATTAATTCCCAATGTACCAATGAGTTCAACAGTCTAGTTCGAACTTCTTCAGGGAAATTAATCGAAATTAACATAACTCAGGTTTATATATAAAAGGAACATCTCTTGTTGTTTAAAAACTTTGTCCAATCATGAGTTATAAAATGAGTATTAACAAGTAAAATAAACAAAATTGTATGAGCTATGATCAAGATATTTTTTACTTCGGACTTACCAATATTGATCTACCTTTGTTAAACACTTTAAAAACAAGAAATGTTCCTTTTATATATAAACCTGTGTTATGTTAATTTCGATTAATTTCCCTGAGGAAGTTGGGATGAGGTTGACGAACACTGGAAATATTGGAATTACTCATTTCAATATGGCTGAGATTTTACAAATATAATTTTTTACAAATGTCTACTTCTCACTCGGCGCCCAAATATATTTTAGAACTATTCTATCAAATCTTGACTACAGTTCATTTGAATTCTAGCTACTATTTTAGAGATATTCTTCGAATATATATGGTAGGATGAATTTTCTTCTGGTCTTTGATGATAGTTTCTTGTTGGTGTTATGACTGAAATGGTAACAATTTTTCGATGATATTGTTAGGGGATATCCATTCTTTTTGAAGCCAGTTAGTAGGTATTTTTCTTCCCTTCACTTCAGCCCACTGGAATGCTACAGTGTGTCTAGACTGTTTTTTAAACAATGTCTGCACACAGTTTTTTTTGGTGAGTAATTTGATCTATGTGTGTGTGTCGGTTTTCAGTGTTCTTTTGTTTTTAAATTTCCAGTGTTAGTTCTTTTGATTAAGACATCTAAAAATGGGATTTTATTGTCGTCAAATTCTTCTTCTACTTATCTTGTTAATTTGATGCCTTGAAATATGCTCTTTATTATTTATGGGTATATTCCAAATCTTATTTCTTTAAATTATTACAAATGTATCATCAACGTAAAATAACCAGAGTCTTAGATTAATCATAGGTAGAGCTATTAATTCTAGTCCTTTTATGAGGGTCTCAACTAATAATCTTGATATGGACGATCCCATATCTATCTGTTTTCACAAAAAGCCTAATTTATATGTGTCCAATATAATATCTGGAGATTCGGTAGCTCGATTTTACACCAAAATGAGAATCCCGGTCATATGCCATTCAGCCTTTTAGTATAAAATAAACTGATTTAAATTCTCCCTCCATGGATGATGAAATTGTGTCTCCTGACAACAACCGTTTTCGTGACTGGTAGTCGATTTACATCTCTACTGTTCATTTTTATTCACTTGGAATTTCAACATTTCTTGTCAAGTGATTTATTTTTTATTTAGCACATCTGGTAAATTTCGTCTATCATAATGTGTCGGTGGTACAGTGGTTGGGACTCTCGTTGACCATGCACATGGTCCAAGGTTCGATCCCCTGCCAATGCACACCTGATATCTATAGTCCCCCTGCAAAATTTAGGCTACCGATATCCATGCTGAAATTCCATACTTGTACCAAAAATACAGTGTGGAATCAAGCTGTAAATCAAAAAAATAAATAAATAAAAAAAGTAATGTCTGACTGATTGAGTACCTTGAGTACCATTCCATCAATTCGTCAATCCAATTTCTACAGAAGCATTCAAGTAGATGACAATGAAACAATCGTGTCCTTTGCTGTCACAGGATTATATACTTCAATGAGTTCAATACGAGCTAGAAAAACTATGCAAAAATTACTCTGTAGCAATAAGAATGTAAAAACGTTAAGTTCAGCTTGGATGGCACTTATAGGAACTATGTCTTACAACATACTGCCAGGTCACTAATCAACTATACGAACAGATAAAAGGAATACCAATGGGATCACCTATATCAGGATTAATAGCTGAAGCCATTAGGCTGAAAAGTTAAGAATTTATAGCTCTACCTATAATTAAACCAAAGCTCTGTCTACGTTACATCGATGATACATTTGTAATATGCACTCAACCAAACAGACTCTTTATCTACATTCGTACAAGAGAATGAAATGAATATCGCTCGCAGGCAATATGCTGTGGATGAACTACCAGAAGATCTTAGAACGCCTTTTATGGAATACGTTACTCAAGTTAGTAAACAAAGGGCACAGAAGAAGCAGATAGAGCTTATGAAAGGACTTGAAAGGAAGCCAGAGGCTGGTAAATTTCCATCAGATCCTACAAAGTACGTCTACAATTATTGTAGTGTTGAATTAAATAAGATGCAACTTGAAGTATTTTCCCTTGGCCTTCGATTTTGTGATAGACCGAAACGAGTTAATCACTTAGATGCTGATACTGAATTTGAAAACCTATTTAGTCAAGCAAGGGATCTAGTTCCATCATCCACCCTGGAACTTAGAACGCTTCAAATCCAATCTAGTGGATTGTTGTTATCAGTACAAAAACCTCAAATGCGACAGTAAACGTTTCTTGACAAAGGAGCACAGAGAAGAACTGAAAAAACTGATTAATGATGAGAGACTGATAATCAAAAGCCGGATAAAGGATCGGGAGTAGTCCTCCTCGATAGAAGTGACTATATTAAAAAGACGAATGATATATTAAAGGAAACACAGAAGTTTCAAAAACTTGAGGAGAAGGAAGATTTCAATGACAAAATAGA